ATGTCTCACTGCCAGTCCTGCCATGTGATGGACGGCCACTGGCTCTTTTATGACCAGCCTAACTACAGAGGCAGAATGTGGCACTTCGGGCCTGGACAGTACAGGAACTTCAGCAATTATGGTGGCATGAGGTTCATGAGCATGAGGCGTATCATGGACTCCTGGTACTAGTGTTTTAGTGTTTCTATCAATAAAATAACTTCTAGAATGATAAATCATGTGTCTTCAAAATTAATGCCACCATTTTCTTATATTATGCAAACACAAGCTTATACATACAAAGAGATAATTAAAAGTCAGAAACAAGTAGATTGCAACTGGATTGCAATATATCTTGAGGTCACATGACTAGAACTGTTCCTATACTGGGATCCCACCAAAAACAGAGCACACCGTTACTTGCTCTAGTTAAATCTTGCCAGATATTTTTCACGCCATGATTTTCTGCTCAAGCTGAATAATTTGGGCTTGCACAGAAGACATAAATTAGGTAAACCTCACGTCTTCCATGCATTCCACAGCATGTATTCTGCATCAATCATGTAGCACTGTGATAATTCTCCTATATTTGAGCATTTGCAATGACATTGTATATAGCTTGCTTGTGCAAATAGTTAATTGCAAATTTGTTGTGTACCCAGCATTGAAGAGGTGGTCCAGAATGAAATTTTAAGGCTTGGTTGTATTTATAAGTTCCAAAAGCAATGTGTGCTCATGCTTTACTTGAAGAAAATCACTTATTTAATAAATAAATAAATATATATATATATATATATATATATATATATATATATATATATATATATATATATATATATATATATATATATATATATCTTACTTTGATTATATGCAGCTACTCAGCTAACAGGAAAACGACAAAAGTCCCGCCCTCAAGATGCTCTGATTGGTCAGCTAACGTAATGTGCTGTGATTAGCGGATTGGCTCCATGTCACCACCTCACGTCCCTACAAGACTGTGCTTTTGCGATGTGTAAATACTGCCAGTCAGAGCAACTGTTAGCAGTGTTAGCTGCTTGAATCAGACAGGAAAATGAAGAGCACACAGCTGAACTTCACGCCTGCTCTCTTAAACAAAATCTGACAAGTGTCTTTCACATATATTTGGGTTATAAGCATGTGTAAGTAAAATTAAAAGTTCTCATGTCTCATAGGCATTTCATGCGCTGCTGAAGATTGTGTGTTAACAGCGGTTTGACTGATAAATATGAATTTGTAGCTAAAATGTTAATGGTGCCAAACAAATAAAAATACTTACAGGTTGTGGCTCACAATTTACAGCTTTGTCGGTTGGAGTAGTTTTTAGCTGAATCCAGCACTGTACTGGGAGATATTCTGGAAGCTGTATTTGTCAAATGGGATATATATAAATTTTATAATTCTCTGGAACATGGTTAAAATTAAATTATTAACACTTCTCTGTCTGTTGTGTCCAATTACAGAAGCCAAATACAGAAACAGAACAACCTCTGTGGAAATAGCAGTGTTTGGACACCATTTTAGCTTTCTCTAATGTACCATTGCAGCACCTTAAATCATTCCCCTTTGCTGGGCAGGGTGTGTGTGTGTGTGTGTGGTGAATGCATGTAACCAGAAGCCCTTGTAATCTCACTGGCCTGGATATATTTTTTTGTAGTCCCCAAACTTTGTTCGTAGTAGGCTTTGCTAAGTTAACGCTGTAAAAGTCAATGTCTCCCTTTGCATTGAACTTTGAGCATTTTACATTCAGAGATGTTGTTTATGTTCACAAAGCTTCATTACACATCAACTAAAGTTTAAAATATGTAGTGGACCACTCCTTTAAGAGAATTTGGTGCCATAATAAAACATGCTCTGCAATATAGAGATGTATGTTTACATACAGTAAAAGCTTTCTATTGTTTGCTTGTACCTTTTTTTGTGAAATTTAAATCCAGAATAACTACAATTGTGGGTCACTTTAGTGTTTAGTAGTTTAACTTAGTTACTAACAGATGTATACATCAGAGAATGGTTTTATTTTGTTGAACTTTTTGGATATTTTGGTGCATACAGGTTAACATTCTGTTCACTAAGTTGCATAGTATTTGCAAATAGTATTTATAGTCTAATAGCTACTATTATCAAGAAGATAATTTCAAACCTTTAATCCTAATTTATTCCTTGTTTTACATTTATACTAGTTTCTCTAATCCTATTTGGTAATTTAACAGATGCTGCACATATGTATGTACAGGGGTTGGACAATGAAACTAAAATACTGGCCAATTTAGTGCTGGAGGTTTTATTAGTAAATTTGTTCAATCTAGTGACCAATCTTAATCAATCTTCACATTCCAGAAGTAAGAACAGACAGTTAAAATTTGAGTACAAGAGTATTAGCACAGATATTTAAAAATATTGCAATACACACAACATTATGGATGACATATCAGTTCAAAAGAGGAAAAATAATTAGTGCGCATATTACTGGCGTATCGGTGACCAACATAGCAAGTCTTTGTGATGTATCAAGAGCCATTGTATCAAGGGTAATGTCAGGATGCCACCAAGATGGACAAACCACATCCAACAAGATTAACTGTGGAAGCAAGAGGAAGCTGCCTAAAAGGGATGTATCCAAAAAAACAAAACCACGGGTGCCCAACTCACCGCAGAATTAAATGTGCACCTCAACTCTCTTGTTTCCACCAAAACTGTTCCACAGGATCAATATACATGGACGGGTTTAGTGCCAATGTGAAATGTCATTTTTAATGGTCACAACAACAAAAACCTTGGGATCTTCAAAAATCTTCAAACTTCACTGTCTTTCCCACACCAGGAGGAGTTACTGTGTGGAAAAGCCCTAAAGAAGCATACCACCCAGACTTTTGCATGCCCAGAGTAAAGCATGAGGGTGGATCAGTGAGGGTTTTTGCTGCAATATCATGGCACTCCCTAAGTGGTTAAAAAAAATTGTGTCCTGAAGACAGTTTTTCAGGATGATAATACACACATAGCAAGACTGGTGACATAGTGGTTTGATGAACTTGAAAGTAAAGTTGAACATCTATGTCCTGCACAGTCACTGAGCCACTTTGGTGTGTCTTGGAGGAGCAGGAAAAGTCAAAAAATATTTTCCTCCACCAGCATCACATGACCTGGTCTATATTCTGCAAGAAAAATGGCTCACAGTACCTCTGGCCACTGTGCAGGATTTGTATCTTTCATTCCCAAAAAGTTGTGCAAAAATAAAAAAAAGTTGTAAAAAATGTACATGTTTATTGCAGTAAATGAGAGATTGTAACGAGGAGACTGACACGGAGGGATCCATTATGCAGTATTTATCAAGCTCTCACTCAATCACACAATATGCACACAAGTGCAAACACACATCAACAGTAGTATTAAAGGTATCAAGGCTGGCGGCAAACAGACACAGAGTGATTACCAGGCATGGGTCAAAGGCAGGCTGCGAGAATCAGAGTCCGTGTATCAGGCTTGGGTCGAGGGCAGGCTGCGAGAATCAGAGTCCGTGTATCAGGCTTGGGTCGAGGGCAGGTAACGAGTATCAGAGTCCGTGTTTCAGGCTTGGGTCGAGGGCAGGCAGAAGGCGAAGCAGAGTCAGAAACGGGCTGGAGTTATACACAAGAGATCAGGCAGGAAATAACACTCAGTAATGCTGGCCAGGGCTAAACAAGACTTCGCACTGACTGAGTGTTTGAGTGAGGCTTATAAGGGGTACGTGGGTCGTTAACCAGATTCAGATCAGGTGTGTGCACAATCAGCGTAAGTGGATGATGTAATGCTAGAAGTCCGAAGATGGCAGCCTCTGCTGGCCAGCGAGGGGAATGACTGGGACCGAGTCGGTGACAGAGATTCAATATTGTTTTTATTTTTATTTACTTATAAATAAAATAATCTTTGAGATACAGAACTATATTTACATTTATAACATGATACTGAAATTATTGGTAGGATTATCCACTTTTAACCAAGTCTCTGTTACAAATAAAATACCCAAAACATGGGAGGTAATAAAGTCAACACAAGAGACTTATTTACAACTGATAGAAAAGCCTTTTCAACACTAAATTAAAATTATTATTACTTATTATTATTACACTATTATTATACAGGTTAGAAATATCTTGATTTCTAGCAGAACCAAAAATTTCATTAACATCATCAATCTAGTCCATCCATATAAAAGTATATCTGAGAGGCAATTTGAGGCTGAACATTCTAAGAAGTTAAACTACATCTCTCCATAGCAGTAGACATATTTGGCCTACCTTCCATTTTACCAAACTTATGAGAATGTGTGCCTTTGGCTAATGTCCCTACACTCAAAAAAATCTTGTTGCCAGTATCCATTTAAATAACGTATGGATTCCCTTATTGCAAAAATCTATGAACAAAATATTGAACACTTGACATAAGATGTCTAAGAAAAGTGTTTTTACACCCCAATGGAATCATCATAATCTCACTGGCCAATCTTATCAGAGCTTCCTCAATTTCATCATTCTGAATAAATGGAGGTAGATAAGATACCATAACACTAGCCATCAGAGCAGCAAGATGTGAAATAATAAGTAATGATCACCATTTGGAAATATACTGTCGCTTATCAACCAATTTACTAAATTTTCCTTTTCAACAAACATCACTATGGTTTTATTCATTCAGAATGGCAATGTAAAGTTTTCAACTGCAACTCTTTCCCCAATTACTAGCAGCATATCTTTGAAAATGACTCTCCGTTCCAGTACACACCTGGTTCTAAATTCTATCTTTACAAATGTATCCATAAATCTGAGACTTTATTCACTGAAAAAAATACCAGAACTTCAAAATAACAAAGGTTTAGAAGAAGTTCCAGGGAAAGTGCTGGCCTAAATATTAAGAGCTAGATACTACGCTTTCTAACAGCTTCTATGCCAACATGCATAGTCAGGAATTGACTAACAATAGATGTCCTTTAGTCTTGGTCTTGGTATAAAAGCACAGGTGTCCACAGTCAGTCAACACAGAAAATCAGTTTCAGCTTCTCCTTTGTGCAATCACCAAGGGTCAGCTAAAGTAACCATGATGGGCAAGGTAAAACTAAAATTTCAATTAACATTCTTAAAAATTAAACCAAAATAAAATGGAGATGGGGAAAAAATAAATCACTAAAAAATAATTATTTTCAGGTCATCTTCTACGAGGACAGAAACTTCCAGGGTCGCTCTTATGAGTGTATGGGAGACTGTGGTGACTTCTCCTCCTACATGAATCGTTGTCACTCTTGCAGAGTGGAGAGCGGCTGCTGGATGATGTACGACCAAACCAACTACATGGGAAGTGGATATTTCTTCAGGAGGGGAGAGTATGCTGATTACATGTCTATGTTTGGAATGAACAACTGCATCAGGTCTTGTCGTATGATCCCCATGGTGAGCTCCATAAGCGTTTTGAATTTTGGGGGGAAATTAACTAATTGTCTCAATTTAATTGTTTATATTTATGATCAACATCAGTGTTGGGTTATTTAGTGAACAAT